AAACCTAAACTAAACTAACTTTATTTACACTGGATAGCTCTATCAGTTCTAAACTGTTCTCTCTAGAGGTCGAGTAAGGATCATCTCTTATTGATCCAGTGTTACTACAGAAGGAAACCTAAACTAAACTAACTTCATTTATACTGGATAGTTCTATCAGTTCTAAACTGTTCTTCCTAGAGGTCCAGTAAGGATCACCTCTTATTGATCCAGTGTTACTACAGGAGGAAACCTAAACTAAACTAACTTTATTTATACTGGATAGCTCTAACACTTCTAAACTGTTCTTCCTAGAGGTCCAGTAAGGATCATCTCTTATTGATCCAGTGTTACTACAGGAGGCAACCTAAACTAAACTAACTTTATTTATACTGCCATCTCCTAATCTGTTACAATGTATTTTCAGCGTCCACTATCAAAATTTCTGGCAATCAGATCTAAATCCATCGACTCTCGGACATCGAACAATGACGAAGAGGATGATGAGGATAATCATCTCTACTCGGATATTGACAGCGCCAAGGCTTTGCCCAAACCAAGGAGGCGGAGACACAGTGGGAGTAGTGCTGACGGACGAGCTATCTTTGTGAATGGTAGTTATGGTAAGGAGGAGATCATTTATGACCATCAACATTACTATCATTACCAGCATCATCATCATTACCAGCACCATCATCATTACCAGCACCATCATTACCAGCACCATCATTCATCATTATCAGCACCATCATCATTCATCATTACCGACACCACCATCATCATCATTACCAGCACCATCATCATTACCAGCACCATCATTACCAACACCACCATCATCATTACCAGCACCATCATTACCAGCACCATCATTCATCATTATCAGCACCATCATCATTCATCATTACCGACACCACCATCATCATCATTACCAGCACCATCATCATTACCAGCACCATCATTACCAACACCACCATCATCATTACCAGCACCATCATTACCAGCACCATCATTCATCATTATCAGCACCATCATCATTCATCATTACCGACACCACCATCATCATCATTACCAGCACCATCATCATTACCAGCACCATCATTACCAACACCACCATCATCATTACCAGCACCATCATTACCAGCACCATCATTCATCATTATCAGCACCATCATCATTCATCATTACCGACACCACCATCATCATCATTACCAGCACCATCATCATTACCAGCACCATCATTACCAACACCACCATCATCATTACCAGCACCATCATTACCAGCACCATCATTCATCATTATCAGCACCATCATCATTCATCATTACCGACACCACCATCATCATCATTACCAGCACCATCATCATTACCAGCACCATCATTACCAGCACCACCATCATCATTACCAGCACCATCATCATTACCAACACCACCATCATTACCAGCACCATCATCATTACCAGCACCATCATCATTACCAACACCATCATCATTACCAACACCACCATCATTACCAGCACCATCATCATTCATCATTACCAGCATCATTCATCATTACCAGCATCATTACCAGCACCATCATCATCATTACCAGCATCATTATCAGCACCACCATTCATCATTACCAGCATCATCATTACCAGCACCATCATCATTCTTCATTACCATTGATCATCATCATATTTACCACCATCATCACCATTACCATCATCACCATTACCATCATCATCATTACTAGCACCATCATCATTCATCATTACTAGCACCATCATCATTCATCATTACCAGCACCATCATCATTACCAGCACCATCATTATCACCACCATCATTATCACCACAATTGTCACTACCACCATCGTCATCATAACCATCATTACCACCATCATCATTATCACCATCATCATTATCACCATCATCATTATCATCATTATCACCATCATCATTATCACCATCATCATCATTACCACCATCATCATCATTATCACCATCATCATCATTACCACCATCATCATCATTACCACCATCATCATCATTACCACCATCATCATTATCACCATCATCATTATCACCATCATTATCACTATCATCATTATCACCATCATCATTATCACCATCATGACTACCATCACCGCCATCATTGTCACCACTAACATCACTAACATGGTGTGTCTGATCAATCTAAGAGCTGTGACCTTTATGGTTGTTTTAGGTTCATCGCCAAACATAGTACCTTCTCCCCCAGAGGTATGTGCAGTTATCTATTGACATTTTGACACAATTAACATAAGATTCATTTAACCATTGAACAATTTTGCAATCATTTTAGATTCCCACCAAACCGGCTCTAAAGAAAAAGCCTGGACAATGTGTAATTCTCTACGACTATGATGCTAAATCACCTGGAGATCTCAGTATTAAGTATGTTTGTCACTATTCATGGCTATATCAGTCAGCATCACAGGGCAGCATCTATTGCTATTGGTTTTAACTATAGTCCATTAACTGTACTTCATTTTTTCAGGGCTGGGCAAAGAGTAACAGTAATCAACAGTTCTTCAATTGATTGGTGGGAGGCAAGTAGTATAATTAGTACAGCAAGTAGTATAATTAGTACAGCAAGTAGTATAATTAGTACAGCAAGTAGTATAATTAGTACAGCAAGTAGTATAATTAGTACAGCAAGTAGTATAATTAGTACAGCAAGTAGTATAATTAGTACAGCAAGTAGTATAATTAGTACAGCAAGTAGTATAATTATTACAGCAAGTAGTACAGCTCAACAGCTGGCCTCTGTAGCTCAGTTGGTTAGAGCTCTGCACCAGAATCGCAGGGCCGTAGGTTCAATTCCTACCAAAGGACCTTGTGCTGCATTTTCTGCAGTCGGTCCTGGTCAGGTCTTAAAATGTATAATATATATTCTCACTTGGATTACAAACCCTAACTTTCTAATATTAATTCCACCAAGTGAAGTGCAAGAAACCAAATCATTGCATAGCTCTGTAGTATTAATAGCTCTTAGCAATGTTGCAAGACTTAGCAACCATTCCCCATAATTGACTCGAAACTACTTTCCGTATTTCTGAGGATGGTTCTAGATCTGAAATATAACTGTTATTTCTTGTTGTTTCTTTACCTTGATTATTGAATCTTGTGTTTAGGGCTCATACAAAGGGAAGGTCGGTTTCTTCCCAGCATCGTACGCCTTGGTATGTCTAATTTTATTATTACTATATATATATATTATATTATTATATTATTTTTGTTTGACATATTGTTGTTCTTTATATTTCGGATAAGATAAATGAATCAGTATTTAATCTTTTTTCTCAGAAACTTCAAGACAAAGACGTTGTTCTCACATGTTTGTACGACTTTGAAGGGGAGGAAGATGATGAACTTTCTATAGCAGAGGGGCAAGTAAGTCAAACATCAACAACAGAATGTCTGTGCTCGATTGTGAACTGATGCAGCTCATTGGGGGTTGCCTGTGGGCTAATCCCAATACACCCTGTCAACATTCCCTGTTACAGTAGTACATACTAGAGAAAACCCATGCCTTTCAGTAGAGCGTGGTCTGACCCTTCACGGTTTAGGCCACAACTTTGGCACAAATCGACTGCAACCTACTCTACACCCAAACCGAGAGTCCGAGATCTCGGTTTCTAGTCAAAACTGTGTAAAAGTTATGGATAAAGTTTGTTCTTCCCCCCTGTAGATACTGGTTTTGATCACAGATGAAGGTAATGGTTGGATGGTCGGACGGGGGGCGGATGGTGAGGGAATATTTCCTTCAACCTATGTGGAGAAATGTGTTAGAAGATAGTCACATATCATTTAAGCTATGGTTTTGCTGTTGGTGATGAGGAGGAAAATTCGCTACCTAGACCCATGATGTTCCATTAGAAGCAATGTGCCAGCTCAATAGCTCTATATTCCTGGGAAAATTACTGCAGAAAATCCCTTACGCCCATATTCTAAAAGCACACTCAATGAGTGGAGGTTCAATCTGAGCTTCTCTTGAGTGTCATTGCTGTTTTTGAATAGCTGTAGGGTTAGTGTCGTACCTCACTATGTGACTACTCACCCTCCAGCTATTCAAAAACAGCATTGACACTCAAGAAAAGCTCAGATTGAACCTCCGCTCATTGAGTGTGAGTGAGCTTTTAGAATACGGGTGCAAGACCTACTAACATGAATAGCTCCTGGTATACATATAAGTAACTTTACAAAGACAAAAGCCAGAACCAACTGACAATGAAAGAAGATATAAAACAGAAATTTTTATATTTTATTTTATACAGACAATGCAACATAATCGTAAGAGTAACTTATAATTCCTGCTGTTGTACAAATACTCTGTAGAAATATTGTAGGAACAATTTTAGATGTATATATAGTTTTATATCCTTATACATAGAGTTTACTATAGCAAGAAAATGTTAGTCTTTATTCTACTGTATATAACTGTCATCTGTGAAGGTCAAAACAAAATATATGTCCAGTTATATCTCAAGATCAGTGCAATCTGGTAGGACCTATCCAGGTTAAATCTTGAGATCAGTGAAATGTTAATCTCTGACTAAAGGGTGATTGGCTAGATAGTATACTTCAAGTACACTATCTAGCAATTGCCCTGACTAAAGTTTAAAGTTAGTCTAAGTTTTATTTGTGATTTTCATGAGAAAAACATCTGCAGTTTTCTGGTGATTTTTCCACTACCTACACTGGCATTCAAGTTTAATTGAAGATAATTAAAGCTGTGTGAATAAATCTCAACAAGGTGCACGAAATTAAATCGCACAAATTTAAAGCTGAGCGAAAATGACTACGACGCAAATTTTAATACAAGTAAGGTATGCATTATCAGGAGCAGAGGAACAGCCAGCCCGACGATTTGGTCCCGCTATGCAACTTTCAACTTATCATTATTCATTTCTTAAGAAATTGATTGTGTTGATAGTTTATAAACATGGCAATATTTGCATAGCGGGACTGAATCGTTGGGCCGGTCAGGAGTAATGTTTTAGTCAGTATTATTTTCACATTCATCTTTTCTTTTGTCATCCATTTTCCTTTTTCTGAAATTCCTTTTCCCTTTCACTTTGCCCATTTTTCCTTCCTCCTCTCCTGTTGCAACACCATCCACACATTTGTCTCCTAAATGCTCCAGATTCACCGGACCATTGCTTGCGACTGGCTTCGCACCTGAACGTTTACCTGGCCCAGGGCTTGCCTTCGATCGAGCCGAACCCACAACATATTCAGGCATAGTGTATGTCCCGCCTTTCCAAACTCCTGCAGAAGTCTTGGATGATGTCATATCTATTTTAGGCTCTGGTTTTTTGAACAAAAGATTGGAATCATCATTGTCAATACTTGATGAAACTTCATCATGTTTCGAGTTTGTGTTAGAAGTTTGTTTATTTGTGTCTATTTTATCTGACTTTACATTGTCTGTTTTGGAAGCGCGATTCTCTGATTCTGACTTGTTCCGTTTCGAACTAAGGGAATTTGCAGCATTTTCACGGCTATTTTCAACAGATTTTCGCTTTTTTAAATCCGCGAGAAAGCTGTGAGCAGCATGTTTATTTAAACTATGTTCATTTAAGCCTCGAAATTCATCAGACCCGTCATTCTCCAAGCTATATTTGGTCCATTTCTCAGGCGACAAAACGTGTTGTGGTACACGCGCTGGCAAACGTCTCGAAGCACTCCTAGGCGAGTTATTTCGATCTTTATTCACGCTTCTTTGCTCTTTCCTTGCAGTTTCGTCCTCTGTTTCGACACCAGAGTTCTCGTTTGACGGTTCTAAAGTACCAAGTCTGCCAAATATAGAATTTGAACGGTTTTGAAAAGAGGTATCGACGTCTTTCAAACAAATAAAATCACTCTTCGAGTCGGCCATCTTGAATCTTGAGATCAGTGGTGTTTCCACATAGAAGAAAGTTCCTTTCACAATCTCTGAATTTCTCTTTGAAAAGAACATTTCCTTTCGAAATATAAATCAGTTTTTCGAATATTTTTATGTTTTAAACCCCCTAAATCAACTTAAATTAAAACCTTTTACGGAAGTTTACAACTATTTTAAAATATTCTTGCATGAACACCGTTTTCCCCCCTGCCATTTCGTTTACTTTTCTCATTTTTCCTTTGAAGAGAAATTTCCTGCTTCTCTTGAGCGGGAAAGCGCGGGAAAGCAACTCGAATAAATTAAAAATTTAAAAGACAGCCATCTTGTTTTCTTTTATAATTTGTTACAGATAATTTCGATGGTTTTAGACTGTTTTAAATCAAAATGAAGATGTAATTGGAACTTATTGAGCGAACTATTCATAAAGACAACGTCTTAATCAAGTAAGATTTGTTTGAAAGGTCTTATTAGTGTATTTTTGCACAAATATTTGTCGTAAAATAAAATATACTAGAAATTACTATCGCAAGGAAAGTGCTGCCTCACCAACAAGGGATCATTTATTCAGTTATTTATTCAACTTCGCCAGGTAAAATTACACGAATGACATGCATACAATACAAATACAATATTATACAAGTGACGAATGGCGGGGACACCACAACAGTTAAAACCAATTACTGCGTCACCCCTCGAAAACGAGGTCGGCATTCGGCAATGCCGACCTATCAACCTTCCAGGTCGGCAAATTTTTGCCGACCTTAATTCAACCAAAGTAAGAATTTTTTGGTGCTGATTGCTGTTAAAAAGTCAGCGATTATAGAATTCGATTCGTAGTTCGAACTGAACACACTTCGGTGTAAGGTTTAAAAATTGACGAGTATTCTATATGTATAATTTAGGTAAGACTCCAAAAGAAAGGCTGCCGTGTTGCTGTAGTTTGCGTTTCCACGGAAAAAGGTATATGCTTTATATTCCGATTTCAATGATTCGCAAATACATGATTACTAGTGCTCCAAGACATGGAAACAGTGGAGGGAGGGGTCATGAAAGTTTTAGTTCCGGCAACGTTTTGACCTCTTTAATTAAAATATGTTATTATAGAACATGAAAATTTTGAATTATTAAATGGCTACAAGTTTACATGAGCTTTGCACTATTACTAACGTCATAAAATAAAAAACAGCATTTGTGCTGCCATGGATAATAAAATAAATGGATTGGAAACTTCTGACGTCATTGACTGCATCCTTGTTGAAAAACGTGACGTCACACGTATTGCGAATGTTACCAAAGTTCTCGGCATATTTGTTGTTTTGCTATATTTTCCACTTTAAAAGGGTGATCTTGAAGCGTAAACTGG